ATTATAATAGGATGAAAACATTTTTATATGTTTGGTATAATTAAAGTATAATTTTTTAGTAAATAATAATTCTTTTTTTGTTTTATTTAGTGTGAATGTGAGAACGATTTATGTCTACAATCAAAACAAAGGGTTGAGATATGCAGATCTTCTGTAACAATGGCAATGAATAGAACAAGGGTATCTTGTACAATAGCGACTTGGATTTGTAATGCAGACGCTCTCTGTCAAACAGCTCTCTGGTATTATAATAAAAATTGCAAGAGTATGTTCCAAGGACGAAAATGCACTAGACGGTAATTAATAATTATGTAAAAAAAAAAAAAGAAAATATGAATTGATATTTTCGATTATAAAATTATAAAATAATCTATTTTACATATAAAGATTGTATTGAAGAACATATTTTAGATGCAGAAACTCGATAAACATTTTAACAAGGCAAGAAAAAGCTGCAAAATTGAACACGTGTCAATGTGATGGTTTTGAAGAGTATGATTGCAAAGGAATTCACAGGTATATGAATCTCCTATGTTTTGGAAAAATACATCACGGTTACCGCGACGTTAACATTGAAGATGATAGAAGGAATGAATTCCTAACACCGAACATGAGTCTTAGAGGAAATGGTGTTCAAATATTAATCGATAGAAGACTATTTTTACTCTCTCTATTGATCTATCATATACTTAAAGTGAGACAAGGCAAGATTATCTATTTTATTATTATTGGTTATGAAACAACATCTATAATTACTTACATGTTTTCAATTTTTATTTGAATATTCTGTTTTTACTTGCAAAAATAAAACGTAATCATTAATAGATACCATTCTAATTGGTATTTATTGTTTCAGACTGATGATTAGAAGAAACCCTGAAAAATCTCCAAAAAGTAACAGTATTCCATGAAACCAATGACCAAAGATCTTAATCATTCTTTTAATCATTGATATTTGAACAATTTTATACTGGTATTAATGGATTACTTTCTCATTATTATAAATAATTGAGTAGCTTAACTAACCAATGAAAAGTTGTATAATTTACGAAATTTTTCACGAATTTCTTGTTCAGTTTGTACAAATGGAAAAAACAGAAAGGAGAAATGTGTACAGTAAAAGTATTGTATAGCGATTGTATTATAGTAAATGTAATTGAATAATTCGTTAAAAATATTTAGTTATATAAGATTTTTTATTTATGAAAGATAATTATGTAAATATCTACATATTGAAAGATGGTCATTGTTTTTCTTTGTCTTTTTTTTGTCAGATTTATATCCTCGAAAATTCTTCTATTTTAAAAAAGTATTATTTTAAAGAATCTTTAGTAACATCTATTTTCTCAAAACTTTCTTTCTAGAATTTT